GTACCTCTTGCACCGGTCATTGCACAACCCATAGTTTATGCAGGCACGTCTGCACAAGTGGCAATGGAACAACAGCGCCTCGTTCATCAAGGTCATCTATTTAAAGGACAAGCTCGTCATACTTGTAATGTCGCGGGGAATTATTGAGAGTGGCACTCATGGACTTCGTTTTTACGTATTACAGCACTTTCTAGCGGCCGTCTGAACTAAAGCTGGCGGCAGAGCTGACCGACTGGCCCTCCAACTCCATCTCGTCGCTCTGCTCTACATACTTCAACCCCAAGCCATTTACGGCTTTGCTGTGAGGCACATCAAGACGACTCATCAGCCCGGATTGATCCTTGTTACCCTGCATGGAAATATTCACGCCTTCCATCGCTTCACGGAGCGTGTCGCCAGTTTCATCCATTGCTGCCAAGAACCGTGCAAGTTCCTTGCACAGCTCCCAGTCACCCTCCTTCATTGCTCTTGATAGCAATCGTACTGTTTGTTCTGACGCAGATCCAAGCTCATCTAGAGTATGCAAGATGATAAGATAGCCTCCGGCCGTCTTCAACGACCCTCGCTGAAGCGACTCTTCGAAAAGTTCTTGTACTGGCGGGAGGTATGCGAAAAGTGTGCGCCATTGCCGCACCTCCGTTTTCCTTGTACATTGCACCACAATGTCTAGGTACTGCTTAAAAGACGACAAAAGCGAAAGCACCCTTGGTAAGATCGCCTCCTCAGGGCTTGGTCCGGAATCAACCTCCTTATCCAACACCTTGTGAAGCAGTATCTCCAACGCGTGTGCGAAGTATTCCAAATTTTGATACCGGTCTGAAAGCTTGACTGCGTCTCCTTTCCGGCCCTCGGTCAGGAGAAATCGCAGAATGTCAGGCAAGAATAAATGTGTCTGTTAATTACTATTAGCAAGTCTCTCAAAAGTAGTGATGGTAAACCAACTCGAATGGCGAAGCGGAAGAAGGAGAAGCTGATGTCTCTTCGCTGTATTAGATCAGCTTCAATCCCAAGGATAATGCCCTTTCCAAGAAGTGTCGAAAGGGGGTAAAAGTCTAGAGGAACCGATATTGTCTTCGGCAGTTCTCGCTGTGCCTCATTTGAAGCCGCTTGCAGCACCTCTTGTATGTCTGCCCAGACCTTGAAATCCTGGCCATCGAACACCCAGAGTGAGTTGCGTAGAGTCACGTCTGCCTCCGCAGGTGACAAATCCTCAGCATGTGTAGCTAACCCATCAAAATGGGGCTGGTCCCGCATGCTAACATGAAATTCAACGTTTTGAGCGATGACTTTCATGTCGTACTTCAAATTACCCTCGCTATTGAATGAGGGCTGTAGCAATACCAACTTGGCATCTACTAGGAACAGGACAGACGCCACGGCGACATCTTGTGACGGATCACCGTCAACGAGTTGGCTATCTGGCAAAATCCAGCTCAGACCGCGGACTCTTGCAGGCGAGCGCACGATGCCATGAAATGCGATCTGTCCTAGCTGCACCAATCTGATCGAACCGTTGGTGGGCGCGAAAATGAAGTGGTAGAGTAGATTGTCGTAGGTGTACACAAGTAACGAGTCCTCCCCTGAAGTAGTCACTAAAACTGCAGGAGCTGGTAACCGTTCGGTGTGAAGCACCTGAGAGTTGTCGAGCGCCGTTTCTCTCGAATAGAGGCGCAATTCGTGCGACTTATTAGCCTCAACAGCAGCCACGAGGATATGCTGATACCAGCACATGCTGCCCCTGACCTGAAATTCATTTTCCATGGCTTCGTTGGCAAATGTTTTCCATCGACCACTGTTGACACTATAGTGAGCCAAACCTCGGCGCCCAGCCACAGCAACGTATCGACCATCTGGTGAAATGACAGTGTGGCGGATGGGCCACTGCTGAAGTAGATAGGCCAAGGGCACTTTCGTTGTGTGCCACAGATGCGGCTCCGCAGAGATGCTGGCTAGATCTGGCAAGTCATATCCGCGATATATCATGACGTTGGTACTCGTCTGCAAAACGGTGCGCATGAGATTTGCAGCGTTGTAGTTGCCGACGACTGCGCTTCTCGCCATTTCCAGTACCCATATTGCCTCGTGCTTGCGATGTGTAATCAGGATCTCCGAACCGCTACCGAGCCAGACGGCGTCTCCAATGCCAGAAATCCAGTTCTCGCCATTGGCCTCAATGATAGTGTCATGTGCGCCAAAACTGTTACTGCCCGGCTTCCCGTAGACGCTCCATGTAGCCCAGCCGTTTTCATATCCAGCAAACAAACAGTAGCCGTCAGGTGAGTAGCTGAGCGTCGTGAGTGAACCAGAAACCGTTGTCGACACTGGAATGGTGTGTGTATGCGAAGGAGGAATATTGCCAGCATAATCTCGAGCCGAGTAAACACGGATGGACCCATCTGCGCAACCTACAGCAATCAATGAGAATCTTGCGTTGATGACTGCTTTTCTGGCGGACTCCTCCGGTTCAGCGGGCGTGTGGAAGCAGTAGCCTTTGAAAAGCTTTTTTGGGTCAGCGTCTTCGCGAGGATGAAGTCGCTGGACTGCATAGACCTTGCCGTCACTTGTGGTCCAGGTTGACAGGTTCATAGGCCGATCGTGGGTCATCTCGACAACGGTTATCTTCTTTTCCAGCCACCCCATTCGACTGATGATTTCTGTCTTAGTCTGGCTTCCGCTCTGGTCCGGGGTCCATCGGATGCACTGGATGGCGCCTGGTTTGCGCGTGGCAACAACTAGTTCATCATCCAGTGCTAGAGCGCTCTCTATGCCAGCATCAACTTTGATGACCATCCTGAAACGAACGCTTACATCACGCACTCCTTGACCCTCACCAGGGCCCCAGAGATACTGGTCTGGAGCTGTACTCCCGGGCTGGCCGTGGTGGTTCTGACGACGTCGTTGGATGTTTGCGTAACTCGGGAAATACGGTTTGTAAACTTGGGCTTCAGAGTCCATCGCGAGTGAGTATGTGATAAGATAGCCTAGGGTCGTCCGAACCACAAGAATAGCCGAGTCAGGTCTCATCAGAAGGTCGACGTTCTCGCCATAAGTCGATAAAGAAGTTTCCGAGCGGACTACCACTGCCAAAATCACAGTGGGCTTGAGAAGAACGTAAGCATGGTTCATTGGACTTTAAAGACAGAGCTATCCAGAGCAAGAACCAACCTTGGCTTGCCATATTGTCATTGAAGTAGAGGATATCGATGCAAAGAGGTGGCCAGGACGGGAGATGCGCAGTGCGAGGACGGGATCTTTCAGGGGAATATTGACGTTGAGGCGGGGTGATGAACGACTTGTTTCCAGATCGTGATCTTGATCGTCAACTGGTTGAATGGCGGGCGTCAGCGGTGTCATTGGCGTCGCCAGCTCAAGAGCATCGTGTGGCGACTGTTGCTGGTGAGCATTTCCGGGAGGCGATTCTAAGGCCTCGCCTGTCGGCCGATTGTCGAAGGGATTGGGCAGGCCATCGTGAGACACGACTAGGTTGAAGGCAGGACCAGACCTGCTGCTCGTTGCGAAGATTCTCGGGGTTCCTATGGGCCAATACATCTCGACAAGGCCCTATGTAAACGCGTCGATCGTTTCGGTGAGGATGTGCCGTCGCAATGGCAAGGTGTTGTTGGTGACAAACGGGGGTTTCGTCGAGCCGAAGACCAGGTATTCTTTGTCGTCGAACCGCACAATGTTTTGATCATGGCCGCTGTTATTGTTCAAACGAGAATCATCGTGTTCTTTTCAAACCAATCGAGGCCCTTGGACGACATCAATATGCGGAGTGGAAAGGTGATTGATCATGCGAAATGGCGGCTTGGGATAAGCATCGTTGTACGAGCTTCTTGTTGCCGGCGGGAGCTTGTGAAGCCACCAGGGGAGCTTCCCGTCGATAAGGTACCCGACCCGCCTTTTTCGGTCTTTGGCAGCTGCACGCAGCACTCCAGCATGTTACAGGCGCTTTGTTCGGACCGCCTTACCCGAGCATCATTAGATAATCAGTGGCGCCGCAAGATGAACTCAATGAGGTGTGCCTTGAGATACTACCTACCTACCTCATACAGGGGAGTAAGGTACCCAAGCACCTAGGTAGGTACAGATATCCACTTTGTATACCGCATTCGCTCCTGCATACTAACGACAACATTGTGAAGTCCATTTTGGGGTTTGGCGTCGACCAACAATAATCAGCGTACAGTCTAGACAGCATTGATTTTGTTCTGCTGAGAGACTCAGTCTGTATGTACTGATCGATTAGTATTGTGTACTTGAATTCCGATCACTGCGGTCGACTCACACTGCATACTATCGTATTTTCCAGCTTGCTCCTCCATTGTTCGAGTTGCGCTCCCAGACTGACCCTCACATACCATTTAGGATTGTACTCAACCCACATTGCTGCTCATCATACAAGGTGTTCCTGGCGCGTCATAATGGTGCCTCCTCGCACAAGGCTGAGCCTCTCCAAGGAGAGGTTTCCGGCTTTCCTGACCAACCTCAAGAGCCAGCCGTACCACGATCCCAGCTCAAGCTCTAGAGGGCACACGTATGACCCCTACCTATGGACAGTCCCTGTGGAGCTTTTGAGTTGGACATACTGACTATTCTTGCAGGCTACGATCAATAGCCTGGAATCCATTGGGAACTTTGGTCGCGACAGGCTCATCGGACAAAACGCTACGCGTCTGTACGTGATGAACGTGATTCGCTTGTCCACGGGGCAAGCAGGCTGACATATCTTACTTCTGTAGGGAATCCGGAGAAGCCAAACGTACGGTTTTCAACTGAGCTAAAAGGACACTCCGCTGCCATTGAAAAGGTTGCATTCAACCCAGTCAAGGATGCTGAGTTGTGTAGTGTAAGCAACGATGGAGTCGTCAAATTCTGGGACGTTCGGTCCAAGACTTGCATCAACGAGATAAGAGGCTTGGGAGACGCCTTCACTCTAGTATGGGCGCCCGACGGACAGTCTCTAGTCGTTGGAAATAAGGTCAGCCACGTTGATTTTGGCATTACTTGGGTACATTCGGCTGACACTCAATCTGCCAGACGGATAATATCTTTGTACTGTCACCAACACAGTCTGCGCCGATATCGTCGCATCAGCAGCCCAGTCAGACCAACCAGATTGCTTTTGACTGGGCCGGCGATACGATCTTCTTGACAACCGGCGAGGGAAGAACACGGATCTTGACATATCCCGATTTCAAGCCTGCCTTCCAGTTCAAACATGGTGATGAGTCAAAGGAGTTTACCCTCAACGGACACACGTCTTCCTGCTTGACAGCCGAGCTACAACCCACAGGACGTTATCTTGCCACGGGAGGTTCGGATTCCATAATTTCTCTGTGGGACACAACAGACTGGATTTGCCAGCGAACCATAACCAGCATGATTGGCCCAGTGCGGTCTATCAGTGAGTTGAATAAATATGCTAGTAACTGCGAACAGTGTCTAATGGTTGTACAGGCTTCACCTTTGATGGTAACTTCTTGGTCGGAGGCAGCGATGAAGGTAAGTCGCCTGGTGCCAGAAAAGCGTAGATGCTGACTACATCGCCAGGCTCTGGACTGGATATTCGACATGCAGAGTCAGGAGACCACGTCCATACCTTCAAGACAGCTGGCCCTTGCCCGGTTGTGGCCTGGGCGCCAACGAAATATTGTCTGGCATACAGTGATCTTGGCGTTCTTCGCATCGTCGGGGTGGATGCAGAGAAGAAGTGACAAGACACAACGTCGCCATTCCGAAGAGGTGAACTTCTCTACTACGGCGCAGAAATAGCCTTTTCAGCCCCGGGCAGGTAGATTTCTTCAGTGAGATAGATAGGAGTAGAGTCTCGAAAATTCCATCTCGAAAAGGAAAATACAGGTTCCTGCGTCGTATCTACTAATGTTTGAAGCTGGGCAGTTATGTGTCGACTTTACATGGCACCTCAGGCATAGGGGTCTAGGGAGAGTAGCTTGAGCTGCAAGATCGGAAGACCGAGAAGCTTGACTGCCTGTTGCCGGAGTCAGATCGGCCCAACTTGACGCCGGTTAGGGAAGAAACGGGAGTCGGAGGCAGAGAAACGATTGCGGCCCTATCAAGTGTTGTAAGCTATTTTGACAGCTGACTGCAGGATAAGTAGCAGAACCCAGAACAGCAGCACAGCAATAAAGACCTCCATTACTTCCACGTCCAACGACTGTGTATTTGAACATGTGGGCCGAGGAGCCTGTGTTCTTCGTCACATACATAGCCTGCCGGGAAACATGCGCCTTATTTGACATTGCCTGACCTCGCCCTCGGATGAAATCCAGACTGGAGAAGACATGAGATGCGAATGATGCATTCTGCACGTGGTATTCTGCGCGTCTTTGCAGAGCCCATACATATGTAAGTGCCAGATGCAGGGAAATAAGATGAAAGATAGAGAGAGTTTTGTATCGAGACTCCTCAAGGGAATTTGATGAGAGCGTGGTGCGACTTGCAGAAAAGTACCCTACGTGCTTACCTACTACGGGCTTACCTACACCTACACATGCAGCGTATGCCACCCTCCCTCACCTTACTTTATCCTGTGTCACAATTATGAGATGATCACTGCCTTGGGTACAAAGCAGAGGGGTTTGGACATCATCATTGGCGGACGGCAGATGCTGGGGTCGTGGGCAGCTGTACGGTGTACCGGATTCATGGGCAGCGCAGCGGTTGTCTCCTAGCGCAGTGTGGCTATGGTGCATGAGATTGTGGTGTGAGTGTGAGTGCAAGTTGCGCGTCCAGACGTTTGCCTAGGAGTGCTGGTGAGAACTCCTCTAAGGCACCTTACCAAAGCCTCGGCCAGCTCTGCTCCCGGGTTTTAGCCGGACGTTGGTCGCTGAGGTGGTGTAGGTTGACACGTTGGCTACCACACTTCCTCCCATGCATGATGTGACCTAACGTACGGTGAAAACGTCGCGGCATCGTAGGGCAAGGAGGAAGGGTGGAAGGGGAAGTGAAATGTTAACTCTTGAACAAAGTTTGTCTTCCAGCTGCCTGAAGAAATTTAGCTCAAGGGTGACAAGTGAACGGAGACATAACAAAATTGACCATTATGCCTGAGGTACTTTACACGGTATGGTCGGTACTTGGAGTTATCCATAGACACCAAGGCCAAAGTAGGTAGCACATGCCTGACGGTCCGCACTTCTACTCCGCTCCGCTACTGCGAGTCTCAAGGGAAAGTGAGTGAGAAATTGGACCTGGATTTCAGTGCCAAATTGTCAATAAGCGTATTCGCGATCTTGCTTGTGCTAGTACCTATCCGATCCGACTCGTGTTTCTCGCTTTTCACTTTCAACGCAGGCACGCAGGGTCTTTTCCGGCACTGCCCACTAGGCATACATATGTGCAGGGTTTCTCGGTGTCTCACCAGCTGATTAGTCGTGGTGGGCATTCGCTACTGTATGGATACACACCTAAGAATTAGACGCGAATACTTCATTATTCACGCCTCGAAGTGATTTAGAATAAAGTGCCCACGAAATGTCAACCGCCTAGGTAGGCAGTACGGTTTTCGTGGCGTCCACCGTCCACGGATTGTCCATCGTGCTGGGCATATCATAACCGCGTATGTAGGTACGGAGTAGATGGAGTGGACATTTGCGGTAGGTACAGAAAGCTAGGGGCCCATGTCCATAATGTACTTGGACTTTATCGAAGGTACGGGATACGGAGTACCTTATTAATCATGGGCTCGGCTGGAAGGGGTATGGCGGCAAGGCCGTATCGCTACTGTACTCGCAGACTGACTGCCAGACGCTCGAGTCTCCCACACTACATAGTAATTGGGAGTCCTACCTAGGTACGGACTGATGAGAGATGCTAATGGCCAGCCAGCCCCTCAGTACCTAAGTGCCCTTGAGTAGGTACCATACTACGCAATTGGCCTGGTACCTACCACCAAACCTCACGCTCAGCTGCACCACTGCACCTAATCCTCCGTTTCTATCCATCCTTGCTTCTCAACCCCAAATCTCGCGCTCCTGACAGACCCGACACTGCTTCCTTCTCCCCGTCTCCTCTACTTCGTACGCCTAGGTACCCTCCACTCTCCTCTCCACCGCCCCAACGACGACCGATAACCCATTCTCCGCCCGCCCTCTTCGCTCTTTCACCTCTGCCTACACTACCAGTCACCGACGACCTCTGCCTTTTCCCCCTTTCGACTTAACATATTCTACAACACCAAACTCCGTACGAATACCCAGAAACCTTTTCTCGACGTCAATCCCATTTCGAAGCGCCCCACGACGTCTCACCCTTTGTGCGACGAGCCTCGACTAGAACGAAACACGACAGTCAGCAGCCGTATCCGTTGTAATTGTGCGCGCGTGCGCCTATGGATTGAGGGCATCTTTACGTTCGGTTTCGCCCTCCGATAACAAGAGAAATCGCCCTGCTTCGTCCACAATCATCCTTCGGATTGCCCGACCGTACGATCGGCGGATATTAAATTAGTAGTTGGATTCGCTGAGACTTTGCCTTCCATCATGTCCTCAAGTACACCCACGCCGCCAGACACAAATGGCGCCAAC